TCGCTCCTCTGCTGATGCCAATTGCGTGATAAAACTCCAACAAGACAATGCAAGACCGCACATCTCAGTCAATGACACGGACATCCAAGCTGCATGCATGGAGCACAATATTCGCATCCAAGTCGTATGCCAACCCCCCAATTCACCTGACCTTAATGTTCTCGATCTCGGGTTCTTTCGCGCTCTCCAAACGCTGCAGCAGCGACAAAACTGCAAAACGATTGAAGAGCTTGTTGAAGCCGTCAAGTCAGCTTGGACAGACATTCCCATGGACAATCTCCAGAGAAACTTCTTGACGCTACAAAGTGTCATGGTGGAGGTCATCAAAGCTGCCGGTGGGAATGGTTTCAGCATTCCACACATGAAAAAAGCTCACCTCAGCCGCCGCGGAGAACTGCCAGAAGCGGTGACGTGCCCCCGGGATGTGTACGAGAGTGGGTGCCAAAAGCTCCAAGAATTTGACAGTGTGAAGGCTCGAGCCACACTAGCTGACGAGGTCCTTGCACAGCACATCGACACGACAATCGAGATTGCTGAGGAAGCCATTCTGTCCTCCAACAACTTCAGTCTCCAATTCATCCTCAGTACTGATGGCCTAGAGCACGAGGTCAACGACGACGGAGACTTGCATCATGTCATGTATTACTTGTGAGAATGTATTTCATCCAAGAATGTATGTTTTATCTTGATTTACGATCTGTTGCAACTTTTTTGATTGTGGATTTTCGTATGGTGTTGCAACTAATATGAATAGGAGGTAGTACTTCAGATTAACTAATACCTCAAGCAGCATACAAATGAATAATGGATCACATCTTCACCACGCCTCTTAAGTCGACCTCGCCTTTTGAGGACATTTACAACAAAAACAAGCCGAGGATATGATGCCGACATCGTCATCAAGATTGTGAGGTGACTTTGGATATACACGATTCGACAGCAAATCATCCGTTCGGCAGTGTTGCGAAAGAACGAAGGATAGCGTACAATAAACATTGTCAATTTTAATCGAGCATGATACATATTGTGCTTCATTGTAGCAGCACAAGCATGTTCACAAGGTAACAGAGTGTCCTGCCATGCTCTGCATGAACAACTTCGCACTGGTATTTCCACGGAGTTCGCGGAAATTTTCGAGAATGCGCCCCAATGTAGTAGGATCCAAGCCACCTCACAGCATGTACATATTGTGCAGAATGCGATCACAGTTGCTTCAACAGTTCTCCACGTATCCAATGCGTTGACCTGCAAAGTTGGTCAAGTACGAGCGAACCGTCATACATTGCTGCACTATGCCGCCTTGTGTCGAAAGGTATCTATTCGAATGCCGGCTGGAAATTCGATGAATAGACAATGACCACCATGTAAAAGAAGAAAGCCATCAAGGGCGTCAAACCAACGATATCCCGTCAGCTTCAATCCATTCTTGCTTCAAAATCACTGCCCTCCGGAGCTCAAATTCTTTGCAAATTACGAGAAACTGTATACGACAACGGCATGATTCCAGTTGGAGACAGCCTGTTCGTCCGTAATTTCCTTGAACAGTACCTCACTGCATTCGAAGTGATATATATTTGCTACCTTGCGATTTTCTCGTTGCATCTGTCTATTTTGCGATAATATTTCTCCCAGAATCCACGCAGAGATGGAGTTCGACGTCGAAAGGATTTGCTGTTCTAACGCAGTACGTAGTACAGTGTCAATTTGGACGGCACATAGTTGTATCGGCGAGTCCAAAATTGCGCACGCGCGGTCGATATGTCGGCAGATTCGTCTTCATACTAAGGCCAAGTCACTTGACAGAACCCTGCTCTCGAGTATGCGTGTTGTGTACAGCAACAGGTAAAGTCAGGGCGATGTTTCTTCGGAAGACTCTGCGTCCTCGAAATTCGCCGCTAATTGTTGAAGTGTGCCCACCTGAAGCAGCCAATCAGTACACAAATCTATATTGTGTCGACCTGCGCTCGAGAGAGCTCATGGATGCAGTGTATCGATTGCGACGCAATTTGAAGTGTCCCCGTCTCGGCGTCGACGTTTGTACATAACCCCAGCAGCGCACAGGCCATAGTGGTCCTGCCATAGTGGGAGAACTTATAAGTGCTATCACCTCAGCACGATCGCTGTTCTATTTTGGCGTCGATTCGGCTTCGCCTGTTTTGAACAAAAGTTGCAAGGCATACTATAACCAAAGCTACGGTGTTTCTCGTTGTATGTTTTGTGCCTGATTTTGGTTCACTTAACGTGTTCGTCGCTCATTGTAGCTGAGTGAAGCCCACGCGATGCCGCATTTCGTCCTCTGGCAACATGTATAGCGTGAACCACTCCAGCTACTCTTGTATCACAATGAATCAGCTCTCTCCCCTTGTGCGACGGGCGCCGTGGAGGCTTCTGTGCCCTCGACGAGAATTACCCCCGCCAAGCCGAAACCGGGTCCTTCACCGTTCATTACTCACGACTACTGGGGTGATTTGGTGCATGTCACGTTGATATTTTGATGAGTGAACCGTGATGAGGTGACGACAGGCCGTCCCCAACACGCGTATTTCACCACCACAGATCAACGGCGTCCTTGGGGATAGCATCGGGTTTTGCATCCAAACTGACGGGCGCCTCCCATACGCCAACACGCTGCGCGTTTCTCCGCATGAATTATGTTTCACACTTCCACCGGCAGTGTTCCGAACGCGTCGACGAAACAACCTCGTTTCGAACGCGTGCCGTTCTGAACATATTTCAATACAGTCGTATGTACTAGTAGTAATGAAAGGCTAGAACGGCATATGATATGTTCACTTCCTCTGTGTTGCACAGGGTCAACCACACAGCGCCGTCAGTCACATTTATACGCTACTCGCGTGCAGCGATGGTCAACTTGCCATGGACGATGCCGTTGTCTTCGCCGCTCACTTCCACGTTCTCTCGTTCTGAGCTCAAACGGGCAATTTCTTGTCAAATAATAGTTGCAGATCACCAAAATCTCCCTCTGATTGGCTAGATTTTCAAAATCGAAACTGGTGTGGACCAATTGGATTGCACCGATGGCGAACGATGTCTCGCTTCACGATGAATGTCGCCGACACGATCGATACCGTCTCGGTGGTGGTGGTGGATGGCGATGAAGCACCCGCGCCACCCAACACAACCTACTTCTTTGTGATCCCTGAAGTGTTCGTCTACGTCAACTACTTTGATGACTTTGGGCCACTCCACCTTGAACACACTTTTCGCTTTTGCACTGTCTCACGCACTCCCGACTGCCAAGAAAGCCAAGTCGCGCTTGCTTGTACAAGGGGTCAGCTCTGGCCAACACGGTACTTCCATTATACTCGTCGTGTCAAGTTTCCAGCCTACCGGTCCGTAGGTCTGTTTTCTTGGGTGCTGGGGCGTTGCTTGCAACGATAAAATTGCAGGAAAATGCTCTGAAGCCGTTCCACGATCTCAATCTACCCCCTTTTCATGATGCCACGGAAGGAGCATGCCCCGTTCCAGCAGTCGCCGACGTCGTGCGTAAATTCCACCGTGCGCTTCACCTGCAATGAAGGCCTCGTCACTCTCGGGCCTCTTGCGACTGGCGAGCTGTAGTACAACTCGTGATAAGCATTCAAGATCGACGAGACCCTCCATTATGAAAAGGTTCAAAATGGAGACTTGAACTGGATCAGCCCAAAGTTGGTTGCGTTTACCGCGCCGCAAGCCATCGCCACGGTAGACGCGACCACCCACCCGCCGGCGTTCTTCATTCCATCCTTTCTTCAGACCACGTGACGCTTGTGATGTGGCTGAACGAAGCGGTGTACGACCCATCCCCGTTTGTACAGGCAGGCATTGCCCATTTGGACCTCGAGTTTCCAGATGGGACGAAACCACCCCGCGACATCCTGAAGCAATTCCTCACAGCATTTGCAGCCACCTCCGGCGCTGTCGCGATACATTGCAAAGCGGGACTTGGGCGCACAGGAACGTGCATTGGGTGCTACATGATGAAGCACGATGGGTTCAAGGCAAATAATACCATCGGGTGGCACAGGTGAGACCAGATGCGCTCGTGGACGGAGGCGCATCATGACTTTGGCACAGGCTATGTCGCCCAGGGAGCGTCATCGGGAAACACAATACTACATGGTAGACATGGAGCGTTTGATGACTAGGGACTCGACGCCGCAGAGCACCAATGGTCATGCGACGAACGGACCAACGCCGCGGAATCGCTCCTTGCAGGTGTGGCGGCACCATAGTGCACTGGACTGAGTTCCAACTTTGGTCATGGCGCGAATTCACCTCGGAACTCCAGGTTTTGATGACGTCCAAGGGTCTCGAGAAGTGAAGCACCAAGGCGACCTCCTGCTGGCGGCCAAGCGAAGACATATCGAGGGGCGAGATGACCTTACGTCGACCACAGCTCACGTCGTGCGGAAAACAGGCTGTTGAGATTGCGCCGATGCAATTCTCTCTCGTTGTCCAAGCATTGTCGCTTCTCGCCGCCACCGTCGTTGGTGGTCGGAGGCAAATCGGATGCACATTCGCCGAACGTTCGGTTGGTTACAAGAGCACTGCAGAGTGATGGTAGACCGCCATTCACACTAATTTAAAATAAACCGATTTGAATTGACTTACGAATTTCAAGTGAAATGAGGTGAATTTAATTCGGATTGTTGCGACGACGGGTTTGGCAACTCTGGCATTGTGGAGGTCAGGTGTCTCGATCGCATGAGCGCATTGGGCAATCGCCGCGGTCCATCGCCGTCGACAGGTCCACAGGAAGCATCCAGCGCCACCGAGGACCTTGTGGTAACCCCGTGCATGGGATTACTGCGTCCTAAACGATTCCTGCCTGATGAAAACCAACAGCACGATGACGGAGACGCTGTTGCCTCCCCCGCGAACAAGAAACGAGCTGTCGTCGAAGGCAGCAAGTCCGCTTCATTTCCAACGTTGCCGTACCCATCGTCTGCCGCACACCCTCAGTACCCTGCCACGCTACCCAGACTGAGCTTGCCTAAAATCAACCCCGTGGTCCTCGTCTTGAAGAAGCGACCTCTCGACATCATTCAGGACGTCCCGCCCACAAACATCCCACAGAACCCACCGCACCAGCAATGTCCCCAGCAACCAAGTCGCCTGTCACAGCATGAACAGCCCCAGCAACAAGCGCCAAAACTAACGCCACCACCACTCCAGTCCGAGAAACTCCAATCTGTCTTGCGCGGACTCGTCCATGTCGCGCAATGCCCGGACGGGTGCTCCAACAAACTTTGCCAGTCCACATCAGGATTCGTAAGCAAGGTCCGCACCCATCTGACGTCTCAGCCAGCATCGCATGACCGGTCGGGGTGTGGCGCGTGCAAATTGTGGAAGTCGATCGTGGACGAACACGAGAAGGACTGCCTCGACCCCCATTGCCCCATTCCGCTCTGCAAGCGGACGCTGTACATGTGAGTGGCGTCAATCGATGCCGATGGTCGGTGAACCCATTGCCGACCTGTCGGAACCTCTACCCCCCCCCCACTCGTGCCCACAAAAAAGGATTTTCTACGACGGCCCATCCCTAGCCTCCCCGACAACCCCTGCGGAGCTTTTCGTTGCAGCCTTCCCGCCCGTAGCAAGCCATGCCGTGCCTTTCCGCTCGCGTTGACCCGCCCAAAAACCCTTCCCCCGAATGCCATCTTGTCTTGAGATGTTGGAAAGACTCGCGCGATCCACTATAAACATGGTGCCGCAGTTCGAGCCGACGTTAGCCTGACGATAACCAGCGGCAACGCCACTTGGATGATCCAGTTCGATCACCAATATATCCGTTAAGTTACATGCGGCCCTTACTGCCCCTTTGCGATCCCTCTCGAGGAGCTTTATCGGTCGGGTCGCTGCGATGGCCAAAGAACGGCATGAGGTACTTTTCGTCCACTGACGTCCACAGCCCCTGCATGCCACCGCCATTCGTGGACATGTCGCCACCATGGCGCCGTCGCATCGTCGACGCGTCGTCATCGTCCGTCTCTTCCGTATCGGTCTCGTCCAAGAGCTTGACCGCTTCTGGGCGAAGCGATAGAATCATGGACGTTTTCGCAAGCCCTAAAGTCGTGAGGAGCGGGCCCGTCAGCATCCCAAACACCTACGCGCATCACAACCCGCACGATGACTCCAACTCGTGGCGGAAGTGTGTACCAAAGTTGTGCTCATCACAGTAAACAGTGTGCTGCTCTTGATCACGCCAGCATGGTCCGAGTGGATCGTCCACACATTCAGCGCCAGCGCAAACGCGATTGCGCCACGAAGGCCGGAAAACCAAATGACGACCATGTACTACGTCGGCAGCGTCGAGTAAGGCAAGTCAGGATCGACGTTACGCATCAATGCACAACATTCCAGACGAGATGGCGGGACACACGTACCGACAGCGGAATCTGCTCCTTTCGCCCGACGTTGGCGAGGCCGCAGAGGGGAAACGTGTTGGCAGCCCGCGCCACGACGAGAATGACCAATTGCCACCCGATGAAGGCCCAGTCCCACTTGAACGCGCCAGAGTACGCCACAACAGACACCCCCAAGTACAAAAAGATAAAGTTCTCGGCGAGGAACGCGAGCGTGCTGAGGAGGTGCTTGAGAGCAGTTGCGCTTTCCTGGCTGATCGTGGTCAGGTGGTAGTGGCTCATCAGCACACCGCTGAAGAAGAGCGCGACGATGCCGCTCAGCCCTGCGAGGTCGCCGACGACGTAGCTACACACGAAGGAGCGTCAAGGATACATGATGTCGCATGGTGGCCACAACAGGACGCACCTGATGTAAGCAGAGAGAAGAATGATCGAGATCTCGTAGGTCGGGTAAAGCTGCAGCGCTGGATCGGCATGTTTGAGCAGGAAGGCTGAGAGGAGGCAGACTACGGCAGCGAGCAAGATCGACCCAAATAAGATGACAATCACTTGGAGGATGACATTGGATGCGGCGTGCGAGTTGATCTCATGCACGCCCTGGCGAATCGATTCTTGAAACAACGTGAATACAACGATAGCTGCCAAATGCAATCAATGCACGAAAGTGACAGAGGAGTGGCGGCCATCGACGTACCGACGCCGTCGTTCAGCACGCTTTCCCCAAACACGAGATTGAACAGCATGGGCGGAGCATCTGACTTTTTGAACACCGAGAGAGTCGCAACGGGGTCCACGGCCGAGATAAGCGACCCGTACAAATATGCTTCCGCAGGCGTCAGCGACGTGATCCACCCGAGGTGACCGAGCCAAATGAGCGCTCCTCCTGTGACGAAAGTCGCGACGAGAGTTCCAACTATCGCGAGAAGCAAGATGGTCGAAAAGTTGGAGAAGAAACCCTGCACATACAACGTGCATTACAAGCGTGGAAGGGTATGAGATGGGGTCGCGCACCCGCTTCTTCATGTTGAAGCCGGCTTCGAGGATGATGGGAGGTAACAGGCCAAAGAACAGCACTTGCGGATTCAGACCCATGGCATCATCCTGAACGGGCGTGAAGAACTTGAGCACCACACCAAACTAGACAAACGTTGCATTAATGATGGGTGGCCGATGGTGGGGAAGATGCATCCAAGAACACGTACGCAGAGGCCAAAGAAGATGGCACACGCCGATTCAGGGATAAACCATTGCTGGGCAGTCGATCGGTCAAGGCGGTACGCAAGGAAGACAAGGATCAGCTGTAGGACAGCGCATACAAGCAGCTCAAGCCCCGTCCACGTCTGCTCTTCATGGGCCTTCAACGCGTTGAGCTCACTTGGCACCATGATGCTCCTGGGAGTGTGTTGAATGCGATGGATTTGTTCGGTACAATTACGTGGAATATTTCACTTGAATTATATTGCATAATATAGCTCCATTCAAACACTACAAATAAAATAGTCGCGTTTGCACCAATGAAATCGTTCCGTTGGCGGGTTGAAGCGACAATAAGGCCAGCGGAGCGAGGCAATGGCACTGCTTCAGAGGCCAACGCAGCGTCCTCGACGACGGTGAACTGGCACTCGATGTTGTCCTGAGCTGATACAGCCTCCAGGATGTGTGCGGCAATGGTTATGGCCTGGTGGCCTAAAGAACTCGACGCTACAAGGATCCATTGGTCCCACGACGCTGGTCGCGATCGGGGCTCATACAACGCACATCTAAAGCTATCGGGGGATAGCTCGCGTGCTTTACTTCAACTCGTCGCGACGTGGCGTCCAACAGACAAGCGTTGACTCAGCACATGCAATGATCCTTCAAAACACAATTTGGGGACGACCGCCACCACGCATCTACCACTGCCGCCTGCATTTCTTTAACAGGGCAAATGGAATCCTCGAAGTGTCCGAGTCGACATGACAACACCCATCGTCCAGAAATATTGCATACTTCACGATTACTCTTGAAAGCAATGCAGGTGTTTGCTCACCACAATCACAAGTGGAAACGAATTGCTTCTAAAAGATACCAAGAAAGCCATTTTGGCGACATCGCTATCGCAGTGCGTGCGAATCTCCATCGTCCGATCCAAGCTCTGATACGTGATTTTGATGAGCCCCCGTTGGCATTTTGTTCCTGCGTTGCATGGGCGAGTGGATGGCCACGTTCTGCGAAGTGGTTCTTACTACGGCGATGTCCGCAGACTACGCTAGTTTGGGATAGCGAAGCCAAGAACGGTCGTGTGATCGATTGTCGTCCAGTTGTTGCTACGTTGAGCAGGCGTGCATAGCGTTTGATTCGTGGCCTCGATGTCGGCACTCTTGATCGGTTTCCTCTCACGGGGAGAACTCGACAGTGTTCGTACGTCGTGGACATCAAGCAGTCACCCGAATGTGCTATCCCCAGTCTCGCGTGGGGTGCCGCCACTTAGCAGACTGCTCGTGTCGCGGCATGGATGGAGAAATGTCAGAGTCTCCGAGGAGGTGTTCTCCGCGACGTGTCATCTCTTGGAGGTGGACGGTACGATCTGGACGACGTACTTCGGTGCTTTACTCCTCGCGTTAGTAGATCAACAACACTCACTTGAAAGGTAGAGTTCCTGTGCGACGAAAGACAGTGCATTCCCCTCCATGACGCCGTAGCGATGCACGTGGCGAAAGGTCGGTCAGTCCTTACCAGGGTCACAGAGATAGATGCCAGCAACGGAAGGATCAAAACACGATGAAACACGACAAACACGAGCTCTTCGCACGAATGTATTTCGATGGGTCTTGGCCCCGGTACCGCCGACGTCTAGACCACAAAAGGTGACAAAGTCGGTCTCATGATTGCAGGGGCTCTTTCACCACGCCTCGTCGAGCCGTGATGTGGCGCCACAAGAGCGCTGTTCTCCATGCCAGACAGCACATCTCCAGCGCGACTTCGCGCTGGAGGTGATGTGGTGCTAACAGCCCCACGATGGACGACGCAGGAATTAGTTTTGGTGAGATTGAAAAACGGATAAGGCGACGACTAAGCGCGTGAGGTGGGGCGAGCGAATGGCTGGGGAGAACGGCGCTTAGCACGTGGGGCGACGGCTGTCGTTGAGCTTGCCGTCGCGCAAGATCGTGCCGACGTTGACGCGGCCATGACCGAAGCGGTTGTTGGGCCACGACGCGTCGGCGGTGCCGCCGCAGTTGGGCGCCCCAAGCAATTTGCTGTTGTCGCTCAAGATCCACTTCTTGGGCTCGGTCGTGTTGAGATCCTTCTGGTCCGTCGTGGCCGTCAAGTACTTGAACACTTGATCGTACGAGACCGTGCTGTCAACGCTCTTGATAAGGGCGACGACACCGGCGACGTGAGGGGCCGCCATGGAGGTCCCGGCCATCTCGACGTACTCGGTGTTGGACGCAATGCCGACGGAGCGCGTGTAGAAGCCGGGGGCTGACACGTCCGGCTTGACGTACGACGACGCGCCGTTGGTGGTCTGGGGACCCTTGGACGAGAAGAACGCGAGCTTGTCCTTTTCGTTGGTGTACGACCCCATCGCGCCGACACTGATGACCGTCTTGTACCCGCCGGGGTTGCCGACGCTGCCGCACTTGGGCCCGGCGTTGCCGTTGGCAAACACAGGAATGATGCCGGCCGCCTTCCACGCCGCGACGGCGTCTTCCATCCACGGGTTGTACCCACTGTCCGCCGCCCACGAATTGTTGACGACGTGGGGGCCCTTCTTGCAGTCGGCGCCCGTGCCGTCCGCCTTGGTGGGGCACAGCATGAACTGCGCGCACGTCAACATGGCCTCGGTAGTCCCATACCCCTCGTACAAACCCATGCACGCGATCCACTGCGCCCCCGGGGCTACACCGATGCCGTTCGCACCGACCATGGTCCCAATCGTGTGCGACCCGTGGCCTTGCGAGTCCCACGGCATGGCCGTCTTTTTGTACGGGTCGAACCAGCCCAAATCAGAGCGCCAGCTGGCCTTGATGGCTTCGTGAGTGTGCAGCGCGCCCGTGTCGATGGACCCGACAATCGCGCCCTTCCCGGTCGAGTACTTCCAGATCTCTGGGGCGCCGACGGCTTCCACACCCCACTCGTTGGCAGCAGCGGCATCGCGGCCGTTCGACCCCGACAACACCTCGGGGATCGAGTAGTCGTTCGAGTTCAAGTCCACGTACGTCACGGCCGATGCCGCTGTCAGCACGTCCAACGTCATCTTGGTCGCGCCCGAGATCAGCGCGGCGCCCCCAATCGGCAACGCCTTGACCGTCACGCCGGCGCCGACGACGCTCTGGAGCTCGGCCACGTTCGCCATGGACGCATTTTGCAAGAACTCGTGGACGAATTCGCGGGGCGACGTCGACGCGGCCGCGCCCTGCTCCATGCTCACCACGTCCAAGGGGAGTTTGACAAGGATGTCGACCGACCTCGTCGACTCGGTCTCAAAGTGGCGAAGCACGCGAGTGTTGATAGTGATGGCCGACGCCACCGACGCGGCGGTCGCAACGATCAAAGCAGCGTTCATGGTACTTGTGCAGGGCGAGGCAAACAGTTAATGTGAGGTTGGGATGTACTTAAGCCTCGCGTGTGCAGCACAGCTCAACTGGTCCGATGCGGCGACAGGTGTGTTCGATGTGCCGCTTCAGCTGATCTAGGTCCTCCCTATAAGTTTACCTAGGTCATCCACTCGTTATCCATGCAAGTGCAACAAACATCGATGAAGCGCAGCACCATAGAATGGAAGGCCTTGAATCCCGAAACAAACTCCATACACTTGTAATCCTCTCATTCCGATTCGTCCTTCCTCGCAATAGTCATGTTTCCGCGTACGCGATCGTTCGCCTCACCACCCTATACCTTGATGCTTCGTCGTCGAAGCTTGTTCGACACGGCATGGTGCTGTAATGGAATAACGATGGGTCCATCGCCTCCGAACATTGCGCAATTTGGATTAGAATACCGCAGACTGTTCTCACGAAATGCACCAACACCCCTCGTGTAGCGACCAAAGGACCTAACTAATGATGTCGCGACGTCGAGTGTGCGTGGTCTGTAGAAGTCGGCAGCTAGCCGCACCCGCACCCGCGACAAGGCAGCTAGGCGCACCCGCACCCGCATCCGCGACACGGTCGCGTGAGAACTGCATAGCGATCTTTAGCTAGAACGAGTTAACGATGACAATTGA